AGAGCCAGCATATTGCCCCAACAGTCTGGGTTCTCATTTCACCCACCTCGGAAGGATGGAAGGCTGAGTTAACCCTGAGCCGGTGAGATTAGAACCGCTGAACTGCAGATAACAGTCAGCTGTAGTGGCCTTCAGTACTGCACCCTAATAATCACTGCACCCTAATAATCACTGCACCACCTCGGCTCCCGAAGGAATGATTATCAAATTGGCAAAGGATAAAAATTGGAATTGAAATGGATTTTTTAGATTTAAAAGGCCACACATCTCACATATGTGACTTCCAATAAAATAGATTAAAAATATGCATATCAGTTGACCATCATTAAAAAAAAACATCAACAAGAGGCAGGTTTCATCACACAGCCAAGGCCGCAAACCATGTTTTCAGCGCCTTAAAAAGGGCCAGCAGGGTCATGGCTAGTCTAATCTCAGGTGGAATGATGTTCCACATGCTATCAGTATATAAGTGTCAAAATGAAAAACTGATGGGAAGCAATTCATAAGTGCTATGAGAACATTGAACCCCACAGTAAGGTTGTAGGTGCAACAGGTTGTAACAGGAGAAACAATGTGGAATAGGGATGGTTTGCTTATGGAGTGGTGGTGCAACTTGAAGCTTCCTATAAAAACTTTATCTGAGCATGGCCAATTAGAAAAAATCTCTGATCGTTCTCCTGTGCAAAGGAAAATCTAGCAAGAAAGGGTGCAAAAAATCTTCAGGGAATTAGTTTGTTAAGCATACCTGAGATTATATGGGCAGAATCCTGCTTGAAACCATAGAATAGGAAACCTTGCAGGAGAATAAACAGACTGCTCAGCAAATAGGTCAGAACTGAGCAAGAAGAGAATTCAATAGTAGTAACTGTGAGAGGGATCTTGGAATCCTAGTGGACAACCACTTAAATAGGAGCCAGCAGTGTGCAGCAGCTGCCAAAAAAGCCAACACAGTTTTAGGCATATACAGAGGGATAGAATCAAGATCATGTGAAGTGTTAAGACCACTTTATAATGCCTTGGTAAGGCCACACTTGGAATACTGCATCCAGTTTTGGTCACCACGATGTAAAGAAGATGTGGAGACTTTAGAAAGACTGCAGAGAAGAG